CATAAAGAGTCTAGACTTTTCAAGGTAGAGTTGGCAGAGAAATCCAGATAACTCCTAACAAACCAAAAATAAACAGTTGGAAGAACACGATAGAAAAGAAACCAATAAGATTCACAAGTCCCAGCCATAACAATTTTTCAATTTATCTTACCACAAGATCAAGCCCGCAAAAGGATGCCATAGCCCCTCCCGCAAAATGCCCTGTCACCATGACTTTGATGTCTCCATATAAATCCTTGACTCTTATAACATCATTCAAAATACTAGGTCGAATTGATGTATTGTGAAAAGCATAATAAAATCCATGATGAACCTAACTCAATCCAAATCAGGAGTATCCACAGGTTGCAAGAGGCTTATCATCTCTTGAACTCACCATGGCACCAGGCATGCAAGGGAGCTCATGTCAAGCTGTTTTCAGTGGAAATCTTCAACCCAATTCTGTATGCTGTAGACATAAACAAAAGTAATCACTAACTGAAATGCTCGAATGATAAAGAGACATGACAAAAATTTTCACAAAACAAAATTAGTGAAGTATGTAATCTCCTCATGACTCCATCTAAAATTACATGAAAGAAGACCCATTTGCCTTGTGTACACATTCACCGAGGCTGCTCTTCTTGGCTTAAATTTTCATCAAATCCTTTGCAAGTCAATTTAAGGGGAAGAATAGCTAAAGTTAACATGCATACCTATGTTCTTGACTTGAGTACCTCTGAAAGCTATAACCACAGCATTAAGGTCCCTAGCAACCCCAACATATGAGCTCATAAGACAAGGCAGCATATGCCCACAAAATCTCATCTCAAGAATTTGGCTATTTAGTACTAAGGATCCATTCTTCTCACAACCTTAGCAACAATGTCATACTAATAAGCAGTCAAATTACCTTGGTCTTTCCATCACATCTAGGACATGTCCAACTAAAAAGTTCTGACAAATCTGACATGTAAACCTGCAATAAAAAGCTTTGCATTAAATTGCAATTTTATTGTATTGAAATGGTGAACCTAATGCGTAACAACAAGAAGCTCTAGGTAAATGTGAAAAAAAATTTAAAGAACACTTACGGCAAATGCATACACCACCAATATCGTGGCAAGAGTGTGATTGTAAACAGTTTTATGAGCCTTGGACCTCACTCTAAGTTCTGCATTTACTAATAGAAAAGAATTTCAGATTGAAATGTGGTCACAAGTTCATTCAATTACAAGCAATGAAGCAAGTTCTTATGTCTCTTGCAAGCTATTTTGACAAATCAAGTGAGGGGAATACTTTAAGGAAACATCAACTCAAAACAATATTCGGTATATTTTTGCAATCCTCCTTTGCGAACTGAAAGAACTATCTACACAATCCAATGCGATGAAAGGGGAATAAGTAAACAACATAAGGCTCCACTTTCCCACAAAGCTACTCTACTAAATCCTACAGGCTACAGTCCATTGCTCAGCTGGACAAAAGCTGAATAACCAATATTCAATCACTGTGAGCACTCCACAAATTTTATCCCCAAAGTAGAAACGGTAGAATGAGATCTACACCAGCGGAATCATTCAGCTGTAGTTTGCCCCATTCAATCAGGCAATATAACTACACAACACGGTCAATTTCCCCCAACCCTGAAATGCCTAATCCCCCAAATTCACAACACAAATCTCACTGCCCAAGCTCAAATCCGACGTACTCAATACTAGAGCCTGTATATTCGCACCTTCTCGCCCCACTTGCGGCAATCAAGCATGTCAGAACCATCACCCTCAACCACCACCTGTTCCGCTCCATATTCTTTATGATCCTTCCTGGTTTGCCCTCGGGATCTTCTTCTGTTGGCGGGCATATTCGGTGATTTCGTCGTTTGCGTGAGGGCACTGAAGGAAGTTTTGATAAAATCGGGACATTGAGAAAGAATGCGCGGCTATGTCTTCTGTTGTATTTTAGCCTAGAGAAATGAGACGTGCTTTTGGACTAATTTGGGTTTTACCGTTCAATCAGTTGGTTCAAACCATACACTAAAATTAAAATTGATATCAGTTGTCTGTTTATTTATATTGGTGGAGGTATATGAAAGTGCAATTACTACATTATGGCGGCAAGCTTTTGGAGTCAAATATTTTCAAATTCAATCTAGAATTAATAATCGGTACTGCAGATCAAGCAAGTCGGGAAGTAACTACTATTATCACCGAAGCTCAGGCCCACATGAAGAAGTTCAATCACCTCCATATAGCCCATTGCAAGAGAGAGTAATTAGATTGCAGATTGGGTCATCAAAGCCTATCGTAACAAAACCTTACCAACCACCCCCCCCCCCCCCCCCTCTCTCATTCTTTTGAATTTGTTGTGTTCTAAATGTGAATTTCATGTATTCTTGAACTACTTAACGAGAATTCTAAAGCTTTTGAGACCAAAAAAAAAAAAAACTTATTGAACTTGAGTGATGAGCAAATTGAGCTTAAGTGTGAATTATAGAACCGATTCCTCTTGGGCTGTTCGAGAAGCAGACTTACTATTACGTATCAATTCTCGAATATTTCTTAGAATACTTATCCTTTACTGGATGCAATAGTTTTTGTTTTTCTTTTAGATAAACATACTTACAGTATTTGAGTTAATTCATTTTGTCTAAGATTAATGAACTATTTATAATATGAATATTTTTGGAACTGATCACTATCTTAGAAATCTTGGCATTGTCATCCCATAATTGCTCGATTGAATACACGAGCCGTACGATCATCGGGAATTGAATACTTTACGTGTAAAAGAATATGATATAAAAGAAAAGGTCCATAAACTTGGGAACAAAGTCAGCGGACTTTTTCCCCGACTATGTGCCAAGTAGAAAGAGTTCATAACCTCAAACAACAACAGTCACAAATGTACTTTTCAAGAATGCAAAGGGTGTGAATGAATTTTCTTTTATTTCACATTTAGCTCAAAAGAATATAAAAAAACAAGAATTTCAGTGGGCGTTACGCATCATATTTGATGGCTCTCACAAATTTATATTGGTAGTGGAATACTTTTATAAAAGTACAGTGAAATTAGTGCACAAACACAACAAGAGGAAGTGAAGAACAAGGTGTAATTCAAGAGCGTGAAGGGGTGAAATGATAGATTTTTGTAGAGAACAATCCTCAAATCTCTTCATTTATAGGTAGTGTTGATAAATCACTCATCAAACTTAGGTGCTAATAAGCACAAAACAGATTTATATACCTCATGTTTTTACCCAAATCATACACTACTCGTTCACGTGGAATGAGTTCAAAAAGAAAAAAGATTGAACATGAAAAAATTGTAGCCCACCCCAAAATGTGGTGACCCAACAATAAGCGGGTCAGACTGTCTTTCATGAATTTGCAAATTTGAATCACATTGGGTGCAAATCATTGGCGAGTTTGTATCCTGCTTATGTGCTACCTCATGCGGTGATATTTCCTAACTTCTAGCACATTAGTAAGACAGCAATGAGAGGCCTGTGTACATACATAAACTGAGCAATTTTGGTTCAAACTTAATCTTCCATAGCGAACGTGAGACTGTAACGTTAGAGGAGAACTATGTCGATTGTCCCCCTCTACCCTTTTAGGTCGGACCACCTCTAATCCTCGAGCCGCAGGTCCATCTCGCGCGTGAGCTGACGCACCCTTCAATTCTGCGGTGGGAAGCGAAAATACAATTTGCCCCCTCTCTGACTGGTGGGAAAAATGAAAAAAAAAAATCGAAAAGGAAAAAACCACTCCAAAAGATAAAGAAGGAAAAGCGAAAAACCGTTTAAAACAAAAATATGAAAAAACGAAAAACCCTCCAGTTTCGAACGCCGACTCCGATACGCCTCCGAATTTCCCACCTCACTCCGACTCTCTCCTCCATTTTTATTTCAGATCGTTCTTTGGATTCCGATTCGGCCTCTTACTCTCTCTCTGTCTCTCTCTCTCACAAGCTGCGACGACCACGATCGATCGATCGGTCGGTCTCTGCCGAAACAGGTTCTTAGCTCTGCCATGGCCAGGCCCCCGAACCAGCAGGCGTTGACCACTTGAGGTTGCCCTGTGTGGTGACTGACTGTTGCTAGGTTTGTTGTTTCTGCTGTTCTGTTCAAAGATATCTTCCAGAGAAGTCTAAGCACCAGTAAGATCACTGGAGAGGGCAGTCCAAATGAACCATGGAGCAGCGTGAACGGTGAAATGATGGAATAACATGATGAAACAAGTATCATATCTCGGTCAGTACCTCTCGGAGGACTCCACACGGAACAAAAAGTATTGCAAGAGATACAGGTGTGAACCCCCGACTAATTGGTAAGCGGGTGCATGATTTTTGGGGGAAAGTTATGTCGACTAACTTGCCTAGACGTTGACTTTGTTCGATTCGCATGCTGGTTTTAACGGACAAACATCAACACTCTTTATCTTAAAGGGAAATTACATCTACGAACCACCCAAGATGGAAGGGAAAGTCTGACATGGACTTCTGGTTTAAAAGGGATTGCCATATGACCCCAATTCAGTTAGATCAGGTGGACCTTTCGATGTCGAAATGGTGCCGTTAGATACTCGATTTCAGGCACATGTGAATTTAGTAAGATTGATCCTAGAAAAATGCAAAATCTTGGTCCGCATTGATAGGTCTATCGCGCAGTTACAGCACTTCATTTTATTAAATTTGAATTTCTGCATGACTCTGCACCACTTCCCAAAGGAGCCTAGTAAAGTGGAATGTTTTAAAAGCCTAAATTTCAAGGATTGAAGAGTCTACAAATTCTCAGTGCTTGCCATTGTTCGTCAGTGACTATAAGAAGACCTTCAATCAGTCACCTAACTTGCCTATCGAGGCTTTCTCTGTGAGGAGCTGGGATCATGGAGCTTCCCAACTCAATTGGATCCCTCGTAAGCCTTGAACACTAGTCTTCCAGAAACTGCAAATCGATAAAGACGCTACCGAACTCAATCTAGAGTTTGGAATCGCTTGATGAATTGGATTTGTCGAGCATGGACATAGAAGAGCTGCCTGGTTCGGTCGGGAACATGAAGCATTCGAAAGTACTGAAGATGAGCTTCTCTGCCATAAGAACCATATAGAGTGTAGTATGGAAGCTAGAGAAGCTTGAAGAAATAGATGCAGAGCTTAGTGAGAATTTGTCAATAGACTAATGATATCTGGAGCTTTTCGTCTTGTAAGATCTTGAAACTGATGTGTGCTGAGATACACCAAGTACCGAGCTCCCGGAAAGTCTCACCTGTCTACATATTCATACCGAGTTGATGATGGCATTTCCGATGCTCAAGTTTGAGACAAAGAGCTTCAACCTAAATAAAAATAATTAAACGAATAAGTACATACATGTATATATGACCATTTATCAGTTAAAGGGGAACAAATTACTTCTAGAAACTCATTTTAGAGGTTTAATTACTATCTATTAGAACTAAAGAATTACCAAGTTCAATAGGTGAGTAATGGTGTCTTGAACGAAAAGTCTATCGCAAGGAAAATTACCTCATGAGCATGCTTTCAGTGGTCTAAATTGAATACTTTAAAGGCCTGCCCACATAGGTTGCCGCATCATCTTTGAAAGATTTATAGATTGTTAAAAACCATGTCCCTAGGAAAATAATTGCCGTTGCTGCCATACTTAAAATTCGATCTTCAAGTTGAGTTTGCGAATATTCCATTAATGGACTATTGGTGGTAAATTGAGTGATATCCTATCTTGTAATAGAGAAACAACCCAATTTTTTTTACATCATTACTTATGATACTCGCATTCCTTGGACAATGTGTAATTGTTAAGCAGTTCATAAAATTTTGAGTGTGATTCGAAGTTAGATCCGATTTCATTAGGAATCATTTTTAATTGGAGTTCAAAGACCTGAAGATTGCGAAAAGGTTCGAAGTGCACAAGGGTTCGCACGAAAGAGTGGAGATCCGTGAGGAGTTGATATTTTCTTTGTCGTCATAGTCATTGAAGAGGCTTCACTGAACTTCTATGAGTCATTGGACAGAGGTTTCTGAGTCTGATCGGAGATTTGGAATCGCTAATTGAGTTGGATATATTCGATTTATGTATCTAAAGGCTACTTGATTTCATTGAGAACTTGAAAGTTTGAAAGTAGTAAGGATGAATCAGAGTCCCGTGCACTTTGTATATCAAAGAAGATAGATTTGAAAGTGGAAGTAGCAAAAGGAATGTTGAAACGAGAACATGCTTATGTGTATGTGTGTGTGTGTCAAAATCGAGACTTCTTTCGAAAAGTCCTGTCCATCTTCATTTGTCACATAAGCACGTTTCCAGTTAAACCGATGTAAGCTTGACAAAAATTCCAATATGAAGAAAAGACAAAACTGGACATATCTAATTCTAAAACAAATACAATAACTAAATCACAATTCACTAACTCAAAAAAAAAAATGTATTGGTCAATGGAAATAGAACCGGGGGCATTGAAGTGAAACGAAAACTCCCTTTACTCAAATAAGAAAGTGGGGGCACCTTTCATATTATCTCAAATACATTAGGAAATACATTCAAGAAACTTAGATTAAATTTTTTATAGTTATGAAACTAGATTTGATCAATAATCTAATTTGGAATTTGAATTTAGCTTGGGTAGAAATCAGATGCTAGAGAAAAAATAATCTCTGTTACAAAAGGCAAGCAAAGTACAAAGTTTGTTAAGATAAATAAAGCGATAACTTAATCTGAGCATTGGAAATTAGTCCTGAAATTAGTATTGGACTATCTTTCATATAGTTGATCTTAATAAGAGAAAGCAAAGGTTGTTATTCAATGACTTACATTGACCAAATGCAATACGACGAAATATTATGCAGGCTTTTGCGCTTTTGTTCGAAACTTGTTTTTGGATAATTGGGTTCACTTTAATGTTTTCAATAAGCAAATGAACAAATAGTCAACATCGAATAAGATAAAAAGGAAGATATTTGATATAGGTCAAGCACGGCCGAATCTATATATCTAAATCATCAAAGCCAAAGAAGAGAAAACTGTTGTGCCGGTGCATGCCACGTGTTATTGCATCGGGCAAGGTTGGGTTTTCTCGCTAAATGCCATTATCCAAATCCTCTCCCGGATGCCTTTAGGCCCTTGCGCTTCAGAAAAGGACGGCGACTCCTCCGTCCGGATATGATCACGAGGTGTTCTTGAGCTTCAGAGGCCCAGACACCCGAGTAGACATCACCGACTTCCTCTACACGAGCCTGATCGACGCAAGGATCCGTGCCTACAAAGACGACAGAGATCTCCGATTCGGGGAAGAGATGGGCCCGGAGCTCGTGCACGCGATTCACCAGTCAAAGATCTCCATACCCATCTTCTTGAGAGGCTATGCCTCTAGTAGGTGGTGTCTACAGGAGTTGGTCTACATGGTGAAGTGCAAGAAGACTCGGGGGCAGATCATCATGCTCATTTTCTATGATGTGACCCCTCGGGAGGTCCGACTGCAAACCGGGGTCTATGGAATGGCCTTGTCTTCGCACGAAACCAAGAAGCGGTATGGGGATGAGACTATCCGATAGGCACTCAGAGAGACCGCCGACCTAAAGGGGTGGGACCTGAGAATGCCCAACAGGTGACTCCTTTCGTCATTCCATCTAGAAAATCTTGTCCGGTTAGAATTTGATTCATCTCTGGTTGAGTTCTTGGATGGATTGGTGTTATTTAATATTGAACTGTGTTTATTTGTTAAAATATGTCTCGAGTTTGAGCCCAAAGCGAAAATCTGAATATTCCAAATTGATGTTTTGCGGATGTCCGAAATCGAGCAAAAGGAAATATTGGAAATCATCTTTCCTACTGTGCGTTGAAGAGTTGGACTGAGTTTGGAAAGTCAATCGTCGACGTGTGGCTAATTGCATAAGAGAAATAAAAAGGAAATTAGAAAGATATTCTTTCCTAATTCTAGTGGGAGTCACGGTCAACAAAGGGAAAGTCCAAACCATACTTTGTTGACCGAAATATGCAGGTTTCCAATTCAGAGTCGGCCACGTTCTCTCCTTGGGTATATATACGTATGCACGCTGTTGTTGATGCGAGCAAACTTGAAGCACCGTTTTCTCTGAGTGCCATGGGTGCCAAATTTCCGAGTGACATCCATAGGTGCTGGGTGTTGGGCAGTGGGTTGTTTCGTTGGTTACGAAGAAGTCTTGAAGTGCCGCCATGGATGTAAGTCTTGAAGCTCTGTTTCATTGAGCGTTTGGCGTGGGATTTTCTTCGTGGAATTACACCAAAAATTCAAGTGTTAGTAGCGATTAAATCTTGTGATAAGATTTGTGTACAATTCCTTCGTGAGATTGAGAGATTATTTCGTGAGGAATTGTGGGGCTAAACACTGCGTGAGTTATTGGGTGTAATTGGGGCTTGGGAAACACTTAGAGTGTTTAAGTGACTCGAGTGTGGTTGTAATCTCCGTTGTATCGCTTGATCTATAGTGAAATTTCATGATGCTCTCCCCGTGGACGTAGGTTTCTACGATTGAACCACATAAATCTAGTGTCCAATTTATTTTCTTATTCTGTCAATTTTATTGTTCGATAGCTTGGCTTCCGCAACAATTGGTATCAGAGCTAGGCTTGCTTAAGTTAACGCGAATCGATGGCGACAGAAGAAGGAAAAGTGAGAATCGACAGATTTGATGGGAAGGATTTTGGTTTCTGGAAGATGCAAATTGAGGATCATCTATATCAGATGAAACTGCACTTGCCCTTGTCTAGGGAGAAGCTAGAGATAATGAAGCAAGCTGATTGGGAATTGCTAGATAGACGAGCTTTGGGTGTTGTAACGTCCTGAATTTTGACCCATTTCCGGGATCAATGATATAGATATTATTTCTCATTTAATTTTAGTAAGTCTCGCCCAAAATTGATCAATCGCGGGATACTAACCAAAAGGGAATGGCTAATTAGGAAAACGGTACGTGGACCAGGGACCCGATCGCGAATCGGGCACCGATTTCGAGAAACGACGAGGAAATATTTTGGGCCAATGTGGGCCGATCCTAGGAAGGTGACGGATTTAGTTTGGCCAATGACGTATGATCGGATCGCGGGTGATTCCGCACGACCGAGAGTACGCGTGGCGAACAAATCCCGAACTTAAACCGAACGATCGCGACCTCTGGAACTAGCGATAATTCCTCACGTTCTCCCAAAAATCGAGACCGTCACGACTCGAGTAACTCTAGGTCGATACGCGTAACCCCTAAACAGCCGCCCATTAGTGAGAGACCCTAAAATTGTAATGATCGCGAAATTGGATCCGGACTTGGACGTCAAATTTCGTGGGCGTGTGCGACTATTTTGCGAGAACGACGTCATTAAGGAAAAGTTGGTCAAACCCTCTTAGACTATTAATATTTTTGTCTCACCCTCATTTCTCCCCCACTCTCCCGGCCAGCCCCTCTCCCCCATGCCATTCTCTCTCTCTAGCCGAATCTCCCCTTCTCCCTCTCTCGGCCTTGGACCGCCGATCGCCGGAGCACCGCCGCCGCCGCTCGCCTATGCCGCCGCTCGTCCGCCGTGCACCACCATGATCCCGTCCATCCTCTCTCTCTCTCTCCGTCTCGTCTCTCTCTCCCTCGTTTGGCGTGAGGACCGCCGGAGCAACCCCTCGGCCGCGTGTGAGGATCGCCGCCGGCCGCCGTCCGTTCAAGCCGCCGCCGTGCCACCGTCTCGCCACCACCACCGACCACCACTCCTTCTCTCTCCCCTGTTCACTAGCACCATCACCCTCTCCCCTTCGGCCGCCGTGACCGCCAAGGACCGCCGGTCGCCGCCGCCGTGGAAGCCGCCGCTCGTCGCCGTCACTAGGCCGCCGTGAGCCGCTCGGTCCACCCGTTCCCGCCGGTTCAGCCATTAATTAGAGCTTAGGAGCTTAAGTGAGTAATTAGTCCCTAAACCCTAATTATGCCAATTATGCATTTCTAGATAGGTTAGGTTAATTTAGGGGTTAAATTAGGGTATTATGGGGGTCATTAGTGGGTGAATATTGTGGCTGCCTATGTAATGGTTTTTGGTGGATTATATTGCTGATTAAGTGGAGATTTAGCGGCCTAGAATGACCGAGGAAGTGGCTGCCCATGTGAATTAATCGGACTAAGTTTGGTCAATTTTGGGAATGAATGGTGTAATTGCCGAGGATGTCTAGATTGACCGATTAGTGGCTGATTTGTGTTCGATTGTGTTCAATTTTATAATGCCATGTTGTGTGTCCTCAGGTGGCCGAATGTGGTGTGGTATGGAGGGCCTTGATTGTGCGAGTTTGTGTCGCACTAATTACGTGATTTATGTGTCATGCCGAAATGTGTTAAATTGAATATTTGGGCGTGCCGATGCAATATTGATTGAACATGTTATGGCATAAATAGGACACATTGTGACTAGTGAGTATGTTAAGGCACAAATTGAGCTTGTCGTGGCATTACTTGATTTTGCGATTATACTTGGAAATTGGATGCTCATTGTATATTACATTATTGCCCGAGTGCGGGACTGCATGGCTACGCATTTCGCATGTTGAGCATTGGCTCGAAGTGAGAACTGTGCGAGTGTGCGTGTCTGGCATGAGCACGTGATCACCTTAATTGCCCTGATGCGTTTTACGTAGGGTTCAGATAAAATTGGTTGTGTGAACGTGTGATCACTATGAGTCCTGATACGTTTTACGCGGGACGGTACCCGGTTTTACCGAAAGACGGCCAGCCTGATGCGTTTTACGCGGGTTTTGGTCCGTATATGGAGATCGGTGTTGCGCCTGATGCGTTTTACCGGGCTGATGCGTTTTACGCGGGCCATGAAGTGTTGGTATTGATTAATAGACCTGATGTCACGCCCCGAACCCCATCGAGCACGCGACACACCTCTCTGGTCGATTAATGCGATGTCCCAGGGTATCGCCGACCCCATTTGAATTAACAGAGATTTAAATCATCCAGCGGAAACCATAAATACCCGGACAATTAAAACTGGGGTAATCAAGGCGAATAAACATATTCATTGACGATTCAAACTTGTATAATATTTACAATTTACAAACCGTCATATAGATATGCACACCGTACTATAAACCACCGATAACAAAAAGGATCGACAGCCTGGGTATTCTATCACCAAAAATAATACCCTCCAACAACCTATTCCACACCCCTACACTAGCCCCTACGCCCTTTACTTGGCGTCCACTCCGAGTCTGATTCTTCGTCCTTTGAATCTGAGCCCCCCTGGATTGTCCGTTCCTCTGAGGACTCCGGCTCGGCCTCGATCTCGATCGGGTTGTTTATATCACCCGACTCAGCTGGAACCTCGACCCGTTCTTCCTCGACTGGCTCCTCAAAGAACTCGTCCTCCGGCACAAAATTGGGATCAATCCATTGCTCATACGGGGGTATATACTCCGGTTCTTCTTCAGGCTCAACAGGTTCATCCTCAGGTCCTGCCTCAGGTTCCTCCTCTCCTGGTTCTTCCTCTGGAATAGCCTCGAGATCTACGTCCATTGGGTCATACCCCGCCCGTGACTCTTCAGGCTCTGGGTCATGCCCGGCTCCCAAGGGCTCAGGTGCTGCGGGCGCCGGCTGTAGACCTGACTGCGCTAGACTAGTTTCCAAACTAGTCATCTCGCCATCCGGGGGAGGTATGGCTGATGGATCCCAGTCCCCAACTCCATCAAAGGGAACATCAAATCCACGGACGGGACCGAACTCATTTATCCCGTCTCGGAAGAACCACGCAGTATATGTGTGGGCTTGCCATAGGGGTAATCCTACATCTACCCAGACTACCGTCGTATGCTTAATCCAGGTCATGTGGTCATCTATAGGATACTCTATAACGTCGTGGTCAGTGTGCATCAGTACTCCAAAACTCTTAAGTGGCGGCGGCGGGAGATTCATTGCTCAGGCTGAGGTTTTGAAATTGTTGGTTGAAACAACCATGAGATTACATCTCAGCAAGCACACACCCTAAACTCCACCTAGGCTATCACGTACCTCCAGACAATCACGACAAACAATCACACTCAGCTAATACACCGCAGGCACACAATCAATACTTACCTGGCCTTTCCAGTGTGCCACCTGCACGTTAGTCACAATAGCACCATTCCACTCACATGCATGTTCTAATTACATTTCATGCATTTGTTCCGATCTCATCACATCTTTTCCACATCACTCGCCAGTGACCCGCGTAATGGTACCGCCTCAGGCTCACTGCGACCAACTCATAATAACACTTCAAGGCCCGCGTAATGGTACCGCCTCAGGCCGTGTATCTTGCCCACGTAGTGGTACCGCCTCAGGCTCAACACCTACCACCTACGAAACAACCCGCGTAATGGTAGTGCCTCAGGTTGGCTATCCTCCGGTAATACCGGCATCGTCCCGCGTAGTCATATCGCCTCAGGACGGATAAATATCCCCGCGTAATGGTACCGCCTCAGGGATTTCCACAATCACACATACCACACTACACACGATTTCTCACTCATTCACATACTCAACATCCACTTGCCAATAATTTGGCCA